CTCTCCGTGCTGCCTTTTTCCCTTCCCACTCATGGCCCCCCCCCCCCCCTCCCACTTCCCTCACCCAGCGACCTGGACGAGGAGTTTGATCTTGCTGGTCCGCCGCCTGCACCCAAGTGGCAGGCCATTGGCCAGCCGTCGGTGGATCCGGTGCTCGATTTGCCGCACCTGACCAAAAGTACGCGCCATATGCCACTTTCCCCCCTTCTTGCTTCCTCCTTTCTTTGAGGCTCTTGTCACGGACGGTCTCATCTAACGCCGACGCCTCTGCCCTCGTGCACGTCGCCCCTTGGGGATTGGGCGGTCCTCCACCAAGAACCTTTCGTGCGTCCTCGAGAGAAAAAAAAGACCCCCCCCTCCCGCCGTACCCACTCCGTGCCTCCAAACCCCGGCACGCCGCTCGGGCAACTCGCAATTCTGACCCTCCGCTCCCGCCCCCCCCCCCTCCCCCTCCCACACAGCCCACGCCCCAGGCCCCGCATCAGGGGTTCACCTTCCCGCTGGATCTGCTTGGCATCAATCTGGTCATCCACGATGTGGACCCGGTGCCGGAGCTCAACGAGATCTGCTGGGCCATGAACCCCAACCGCACCGAGGCCACCATGACCACGCCGCAGATGGACACCGACCCGGCATCCCCCTCCTTCGGCCAGCAGGTGGACGAGCGTGTAGTCCGAGTGGTGCCTCGGCTTCGAGGCGATGTGCAGCCCTCGTTGGCTTTCGCGTCGAATATCGAGGCAGCCACGGTGGCCTGCGTGCAGGTTCATCGGCTCGGCACCATCGAGCATGTCCGCACGACGTACCACAGTGCTCGGTACTTTTACCCGATCGGCTTTATGGCCACCCGGCGCCATGTGTCCTTCACCGATCCCCGGCGCTTGACCACATACCAGCTGGAGATTCTGGACGGCGGTCCGGTTCCGCGGGTGCGCGCCATTCTCCCCTGCTCATGGCCTCGCCCTTTCCACCTTCTCCCTCTCCTGCTCGCGGCCTTTCTCCCGGCCAAACAGCGACACGCCCTTCCACATGTGCTTCTCACCTGCTGATTTCTCCCGCGATCCCCCTTCGGCGCCCCATGCACATGCGCACATGCACGCCGACGTCCCCGCTTCCCTGCTGCTGCTGCTGCTGCTGTTGCTGCTGCTGCTCCTGCTGCTGCTGCTGCTGCTGCTGCTCCTGCTCCTGCTGCTGCTGTTGCTGCTGCTCCTGCTCCTGCTGCTGCTGCTGCTCCTGCTCCTGCTGCTGGATAGTTCTCCATCCACGCCCTGGACCAGCCCAAGAAGCTCTTCGTCACCAACAGCATCATCCAAAGCTGGAAGCGTGCGTCTTCGAGGGCCCTCGCCTTTTTTCGCCCAGTCTCTTCCTCGACTGACCTCCCGTGCGCCACCGGGCTTGCCATCCACAGAGATCCAGAATGAGATTGTCAAGGCTCGCGAGCAGCTTGGCTTGGCCTCCTCTTTCGAGGACCTTGACGATGTTTTCAACAAGCCCTCGCCCTATGAGCGTGTGGTGACACCGCTGTCCTCGGGCGTGGCCCCCCCCGGGACGACCGCCATCGGTATGGCACCTCCACCCGGAGCGCTGACCGTGGCCGTGGTCAACAACACCCTCACCGCGCCGGATCTCTTTGGCTTGTCTGATCCGACGGTGCTTCGGCTCCTGATGGTGCGTCACATCATGCTGGCTCTCCCCGTCTCTCCCTCTCCAGCCAACCTCGCTGTCCACTGACCGGCTCTCCATCCCACAGACCCTGCCCGGCGCCGATATGTGTCGGAAGTTCATCGTCAACGCCCGGCGGGCATACAACGAGCAGCGGCGTCTCGGACGTCGTGAGGCGGCCGCCGCTGCCGCCGCCGCCGCCGCCTCCCCCGGCCCCGGGGACACCACTCCATCTGACCGGCGCTCGGCCGCACCCAGCCAGCGCGCCACCCCCTCCGGCGGCGGTGGCACCACATCGACCGACCCTCCGGCCAGGTTTGGCAAGTCCGCCAAAACACCTGCCCCCTCCTCCTCCTCGACCACTTCAGCCTCTTCTCCCTCCTTCCCATCGCAATCGACTCCATCGCGCGGTGCTGGTACCACATCGCGTGATACTCCCTCTCGGCGTCATCGAGGTGACCCCTCGGAGGATGCCGGGCCTCGGCGGGCCCCCTTGGCCCCGGCCCCGCCGGTGACGGGGTCCCCCTCGCGACGCCCCGGCGATCGGGCAGATCGCAGTGATGCTCGTCCGGCGCGTTCGCGCTCGAGGTCACGCTCCCCCTCGCGCGGGCGCCCCGCCCCCCGGCGCCCCGCCAGCCCGGCCCGGTCGTTCTCCCCCGCCACTGCCTCGCCCTCTTCGCGGCAACGCCGGCGACATGTCTCCCGGTCCCGGTCCCGGTCTCGGTCCCGGTCTCGGTCCCGGTCTCCTCCGCGGTCACAGCGCTGGTCAAGGTCGCGCTCTCGTTCGCGCAGTCCCCACCGGCCGGCCGACCGCCGTCCTGTGGATCGCTATGCCGGCGGCCCGACCGCCGACCGGGGTGGCAGCGGATCCACCTACCGGCCCGGGAGAGGAGGTCGATCCCGCTCACGCTCACGCTCTCCATCGGACAGCGGTGGCCCGCGTCGCGGGTATTCCCCCTCCCCCTCGCGCCGGCGGGGGCCCTCCTCCTCGCACCACCGGTCACGCTCGCGCTCGCCCCCCTCCTCGTCCACATATCACCGGTCACGGCCGGCGTCCTTCCCCTCGCCCCGGCGGTCCCCCTCGCCCGGGGCCAATGCCAGTGGCTATCGCGACCGCTACCACCGGTCACGCTCGCGCTCTCGCTCGCCATCCTCCACAGGTGGCGCCCAGAGGTTCTATGGCCGCCGCGGCAATGATCGCCGGTTCTAGTTCATCCCCGGGGCCCCGGTCTCTCCCGCCCCCCCCCTGCCTCCCGCCCGTGCTTTCCCTCTTGCCTGGAGCAGAAATATATTCCCGGCGTGCTGTGCACATGATATTCGGAACCAACATCACGTGCCGATCCTTTGACCGCGTCCCCTGCGAAGCGAAAACCTCGGGGTAGTGGCACGGGGAGGCCCAGCGCGCCGGCCGGGAGAAAGTGTGCCCCCCTTCTCCCGCCCGTCCGGGGCCGGCGCAAGCACGGCTCTGATATCTCGGTTAATGTGCGAGAGGCGGGCAGGCGGGGGACACTCAACTGGCGTTGGGCCCGGGTACGTGGCGGAGGTGCACGTCTGCTTTTGCCGGCTCCGTTAGAGCCCCTCGGCCGGCCGGGGCGTCGGGCCGCGCGAGGGAGCGCGTCCCGTAAATGACCCATCGAGAGGCGCCTGGGCGAACGCAACGCCCAGGAACAGCCTTGGTTTGGGGACTGGGCGAGGCGGAGAAGGGGCGAAAGATTGCTTCGCCTCCGGTTTGTGCTGCGAGAGGTGTACGCAGGCTCGGCTCCTCGCGCGCCCCGCCCCTCGGGGCGGGGTGGGACAGGGGGGAGGGGAGGGCCTTCCATCCCCCTCCCCCGGCGCCCTGAGAGGAGGACCCCCTCGCGCCCGTTTCCGGCGCCCGGCCGCCGGCCGTCCCCGCCCCGCCCCCTTCGCCCCTTTCAATTTGTTGCTGCAGGGAGGGGCAGAGCGGTAGCCTGTCCGGTCAGCAAGGGAGAGGAACACTGGGGGGCGGGGGGACGCGGCTCGGACCCTGTATATCTAGCTCCCGCACCGGTCGGTCTGCTTTGATGCACCGATTCGGGGGTACTCGCCGGTTTCCAGAGCGGCCCGACCACGGGAGGACCGGTACAATAACAACAAAAAACAACAACCAAGGGGGGAGCGGGGCGGGGGGAAGGGGGGGGGGAGAAGTGCGTCCCACCCCTGCCCCGGGCCAGATGGCTGCCGACCCTCCTCGCCCGGCCCCATCCCCCTCCCCCCCGGGCAAGAGGAGGCCAGAAGCGCAGGAGGGGGCGGGCACTTTGGAGCATCCACTACCCCGAGGGGGCTGGTTGACGAGCATTCCACGCGCGGCGGCCGGCCACCGAGATGGCGGCAGGGGCAGCCACCGGCCCGTGGCCCGACCCCCCCCCTCCCCACGCCGCCCCCCTGGGGCCTGCCAGGGGACACCGGAGGCGGTAATCGCTGCCAGAGCTCGAGGCCACACGCGCGTCTCCCTGTCCCCGGGGCTGTTGGGCAACATCCGTCAGAGCGTCGCGGTCTGGCCCCGGGGTCCTGGAGGACCTTCCTCCCAGCCGAGGCCGTTGCCGGCGGTCGAGGCGCGAGCCGGCTCCCGGCGCCCCTCTGCCCTGCGCCCGGTCCCGGCCCGGGACCTGGAGCCCTCGGACGGCGGGTTCAAATTGAATTGCCCCAGGAGCCCCCTTGGCGCGGCCCCCGCCCCCAAAAGTCGGCTCCCCCCCGTACAGAGGCCCCCTGATGTCGCGCAGGAGGGGGAGCCCTGTTTGAAGATGTGTGCGTGTGTGTGCGTGCGCGCTCTTCGGCGTTGGGGCCCTCCGCCCCCCCCCCCCCCCGGCTGGACGGCCGGGGGAGGAGGATGGGCTCTCGCCGCGATCCTGTCCGCCTGAGAACAACCGCGGCCTCGCGCTCGGACATCGCATGGGTGATGCGTGAACAGCCCGCACAAGCACCCGCCCAGGGGGGAGATCCTCCACCGCGAGAGGAGTGCATCGACCAGGGACCAGGGGGCAGGGGCACCGGAATCCGGCCGCCTCCTCTCCCGCGCTTGGCGCCTCTTGTGGGACCGTTGTTGGAGGCCTTCCGTCGCGGGTTGCCGCGACAATTCCCCCCCCCCCTCCCCCTCCTCTGTCCCCTCCAAGCCCCCTGCCACACGCCCCCCCACCCGCGCCTCCACTCGATCTCCCTGCACCCGTCACCCTCCAAGTCGGTCGCCCGCTTGCATTTTTATTACCCTCTGTGCTCCGCCCACTTCGAGGAAAGGACACCCCTCCTCCCCGCCCAGCTATCGCCCCACCACGCGGAGAGCGTCGGCTCCGGATCGCACAATGGCCTCACTGTTTCACCGCCGCTCGGCGTCCTCTGCCACCTCGACCACGTCCAGCTCCTCGCTAAACTCCCCAGGCGAAGGTGGCTCGGGTAGCTCATCCTCCCTCTTCAAGCGGGTATGCTCGCATGCTTCCCCTGCAGTGCACGCCCATGCACCCATGCACATGGCCACAGCGCATGCATACCTTCTGCACCCTCCCCTCCACTCACCGTCCTCCCCCGCCCTCCCCCCCCCCCCTCTTCCCCAAGCCGCTCCTGAACAAGTCCTTCTTCGGCAGCAAGTCCAGCAACCTGTCCAGCCAAACTCCCAGCGACAACTCCTTCGACATCCTCCTCCAGTCCGGCGAAACCATCCTGCTCAGCCTCTCCAACAATGGAAGCACCACCGACACCAGCCTCGAGGTGTGTGGTCGCCCTCACGATGCCCGCTCCCTACCCCCCCCCCCCTCCGCCTCTTCCGGATGTCCCCCTGACTCGTGGGCCCGCTCGCGCCCTGCTCCCCGTCCTCCTCCCCCCCCCCTGGTAGCTCGATCAGCCCCCTGCCGCCCTCGGGCCGGATGATGAGAACGACCCGTCCAACCACCTGGTCGACCTGCTGAAGGCCGAGAACGTCCGCCTCAACCTGCAGGTGGTCAAACTGCGCGAGGAGCTGGCCGTTTCGCGCGGCGAGTCCCTCTCCAGCCTGACCCTACCTACCATCGACGACAATCTGCTGGCCTCGCTGACGAGTGCCGCCGGGCCCGGACCCCTGGGACCCGGCTCCGAGTCCGGCGACGCCAGTCCCCTGATGCCGAGCACCGACGCCGGATCCGCCCCGTCGGTCGACTGGGAGGCCCAGTACATGGAACTGAAGGAGCGCAGCAACAAGCTCGCCCAGCAGGCCGTCATCACCATTGAAGACCGCATGAAGCGCATCCAGCACCTTGAGGGCGAGAATGGGGCCCTCTTCGACCGGTGCCAGACTCTGGCCTACGAGATTCTGGAGGTGCGCTCCAGCCAGCGGTGGTGGCTTTACCTCGGGGTGACTGCCCTGGCGGCGGTGGCCCTGGCGGCGGCCGTGCTCGGGCTCCGGTGGCACTGCTGAGGGCCTCCCTTCCCCTCTCTCTGCCCCTTTTCTCGCTGCGAGAGCGAGAGTGCGAGGGCGCGACGCGCGTGCGTTCCGCCCTCTCCTCCGCCGCCCGACTCGTGCTCACCGACTCCCCCCCCCCCCTCCACACACACACACACACACACACACATGCTCCCCTTCTCCACATCCGTCTGTCCTTCCCTCCCCCGTTTGTACCCACACGCCCATATCCATCCCCATCCCCATCCCCCTCCCCCCTTCTCCACTTGTTCCCCATCGTGTGTCTGTTTGGAATGCCGCTCTCTCTCCCTCTCCACCCTCTCCAATGCGCCCCCCTGCATGCCTGTCATTTGACAGCGCGATGCCAAGGAGGCCCGTGCCATGTCCCTCATCCCCCGACTGGTGGAGTCCATCAAGCGCCTGCATCAGGACCTGCAGACCGAGCGCGCGCGCCATGCGGTCAACGACGAGTTCGACCGCCTGCGTCTGCATGTGACCGACCGTGCCCGGCCAACCAGCCAGCTCCTCGGCACCCCCTCGGCGGCGGCTACCCTGAACGCCGAGCATGAACGCATCGAGCGCGAGCGTCGTGAGCTTCAGGCACGCGCCGAGCGCCTGCGCGTGGAGCGCGACCGTCTTAAGGTCCTCCAGGCAGCCCAGGACGAGGCGGTGGCCACCAATCAGGTGGGGGGCCCGCTGGACTTCGCCCCCGGGGGGAGCGCATCTGCCGGCGCGACGGCCGTCTCCACGCCGCCGCCTGCCCTGCATGGCTCCGGTGGCGGGCACTACCAACATCACACCGGTGCCGGGGCTGGGGCTCCTGTATCGCCGATCATCACCACCCCCCTGCTCTACAGCCCGGATATGCACTCGCATCTCCACCACCAGCAGCCCGTGTCCGCCACACAGGTGTCCACCCCGACCGGGATGGCCCCCCCGCCGGTGCTCGTGTCTCCGGGGGGATTGCTGCTGACGCCGCTGTCGACCACGGCCCCGCATCCGACCGGACCCTCAGCAGCCGGCCCCCATGCGGGTGGCCCCTCATCGCACTTGGCCACCGCCCCGGACCACCTGTCCGGGTCGCACTTGGCTTCGCCCTCATCGGCCACGCCGCCGCTGCAGTACTCGAACTCGGCACACTCGCTGTCGCTGGCTTCCACGCCGGAGCCCGGCTCTTCGCCGGGGATGAGCTCGCCAACCGGCGCGGCTGCTTGCCCGGAGAGCAACTTCGCTCGAAGCGACTCCAGCATCAACGAGCGTGCCCATCATCATGCATATGGCAGTGCCGATGCCAACGCCACCGGGGGAACCGCGGTGCCCCTGTCGCCCTTTGCCCCGATGGCCGGGACGGAATCCAACTTCCGGGCCTCGATCGACTGCTCCTCACAGTCGTTCAGCCAGTTGCGCAGCACCTTCGGTGGCTAGATAGCGAGCAAGGACAAAAGGGATGACCTGGGGAAGAGAGCGAGGAGGGAAGAAAACTCCCCTTTTGGCCTGGCAGCCTCCGGCCCACGCCTCTCCCTCCCTCCCCCTTCTGCTGTGCTGTGCCCCTGCCTGGCCCGTGCGACAATTGCCTTTAGACTTCGATACATGTGTTCCCAGCGGGCCCTCTTTGTGCTGCTGCTGCTGCTGCTGCTCCGGCTTCCTCTCTTCACCTCCCTCCCTCCCATCCCTGTAATCACCTTGACATTTGCTCCCCTCCACCCTCCTTTGCTCCCTCCTCTCTTCCTGTCTCCGCTGGTGCAAGTGCCCAACTTGTGAGTCGCGCCTCCAGTGGGGCAGGGCAAAAAAACAAACCCATAAATCATATACCTGTGCTTGTGTGGTGTGTATGTGTGTGTGTCTGCGCGTGTTTGCATGCGACTCGAACTGTTGAAAGCACGAAAACTTTGCGCGCTGTTCCTCGCTGGGTCACAGAGGGAGAGCGGAGGAGAAGAGGGGGGAGGGAGACAGAGAGAGAGAGAGAGAGAGGGAGGGAGAGGGAGAGAGAGGGAGAGAGAACTAGAGGTAAAAGCACTGTCAATCTGGTTTGCCCCCACGAGGGCGGGAGGGGGGGGGGGGGGTCGGTTTGCCTGGTGGCCTTTTCTGCCAACATGGGGCAACCCCTCGTGCTCCTCCTCACAGGAGCTCATTCTCGATGACCGCGGCCGCGCCCATGCCGGTACCCACGCACATGGACGTGCATCCGAAGCGCAGGCGCCGGGCCTGGAGCTGAGGCAGGAGGGTGGCGATTTGCCGGGCGCCAGTGCAGCCAAGCGGATGCCCCAGGGCAATGGCACCGCCCAGAGGATTGACCTTGTCCGGATTGAGACGGAGCTCGCGCACCGTGTAGCACGCCTGCGAGGCAAAGGCCTCATTGATCTCGTAGATGTCGATGTCATCCTTATTCAAGCCGGCCTGCTTCAAGACCGCCGGAATGGCAGCCACGGGGCCGATCCCCATGATGCGCGGCTCGACACCGACCGTGCGGAAGGCAATGAATCGGGCCAGGATCGGCAGGCCGATCTTGATGGCGACCCTGCGCCGGGCCAGCATGACGGCCGCCGCGCCATCGCTCACCTGCGAGGAGTTCCCGGCGGTGGTGGTTCCATCCTCGGCGAAGGCCGGCCGCAGGGCGGCCAGCGCCGCGGCCGTCGTGTCACCGCGAATGCCATCATCCTGAGAGACGGTGACCTTTTGGCCACTGGCATCCTGGAAGATGACGGGGACAATCTCCTGCCGGAAGAGGCCGGCTGCTTGGGCCGCCGCGGCACGCTGGTGTGACGCCAACGCAAAGCGGTCTTGCTCTTGGCGGGAAACTATTTGCGGGGGCCACCGGTAAGTGCGGGGTGGAGAGAGAGGGGGGGGGGGGCGGCATTGCTCATGGGGTGCCGGCCCGGGCAGGCCGTCTTGCCCCGGGCGACGGTCTCTGCCTGCCCGGGCCGGCATCGGGCGGCTGTGCTCAACGAAGGCCACCCGGTCGCCGGCAATGGGCATGTCGGATTGCCGGCGCAATGTGCGGGCGTCTGCGTGCGCATCACGGAAGCAAGCGACGGGACCGCGATCTACGGAGGGGGGGGGTGGAGAGAGAGGGGGGGGGGGGGGTGGATGGTTGTGTGCGGAGGCCGGTGAGACGAGTCCGAGGACGGGGGGAGGAATGGCACAGGGAACCGGAAAAAGGCGAGGAGGGACGGGGAAAGCCGCGCACCGTTGAAGTCCCGGGCCACATTCTCCGATGTATCGCCCATCGGCAGGGTAGTGTCCTCGGCCTGCGGACAGCTATCGAAGCCGCCCTCCCAAAACTCCTGCATGGCCCCAGGACCATAGTGCTAAAGGGAGGCATACCCAGACACACATGTACCAGGGGGGGGGGAGGGTCAATCAGGAGAAGGACCAGAGAAAGAAAGAGAGAGAGAAAGAGAGAGATGCCGGCCTTTGCCTGTGCGTACCATGGTCATGGACTCGACACCGGCACCGATGCCGATGTCGATGAAGCCCGAGCGAATGGCCGCTGCGATGTTGGCCACGGCCTGCAGGCCACTGGCGCACTGGCGATTACATGTTGCCACCGAGGTGGACACGGGGAACCCGGCGTAGAGGGCCGCCTGCCGGGCGGCCGTGGCCCCGCCACCGGGAGGCAGGACCGTCCCGACTTGGATGTCCTGCACCAGATGCACACGATCGCGCGACAAGCCCGAGCGCTCCAGGCAGCCGGCCAGAGCGGCGGCCAGCATCTGCTCAGCGAAAGCGTCCTTCAGCATTCCCTTGCGAGCCCGGGTGATTGGTGTGCGCACGGCGCTCACGATGACCACATCGTCCGGATGGGCCGGGGCACGCGCAGCTGCATCCAGCGGGCGCCAGAGAGGGAGAGAGAGGAGAGGAGGAGGGGATGAAGTCAGGAACACACCAAATAGCCCGAGAGAGGCAGGAGAGGGACAGGAGAGGCTCAGTGGGGCCGGAGGACGGGGAAAACGAGCACGCACGGGCAGGCAGCCGGGCAGGCTGGGCCAGGTGCGAAGCTAGAGTGCTGACGCGCTCGGCAGGAAGATCGGCAAAGTGGGCCGCAGGACGACTGGAGGACATGGTGTGTGTTGACGTGGGACAGGAGCCTGTGTGTGTGTGTGTGTGTGTGTGTGTGTGTGTCGCCGGGTGGAGGGCAGCGGAGCGAGCGGGGAAAGGACGCAAGAAAATTGGTTGTGCGGTCCTGGTCGAACCAGATTGGCGAGTCGGGGTGGTGCGGTATAAAGGCCGGGTCAGCCACCACCCTGTTCTCCCCCACCCCCAGGGGGGGGGGGGGCGGATGCGACAGCCTCGCACCACACTCGGAGCCACAGCCCGCGATCGCGTAAGTTGTGTTGCCAAAGGCCCGGCCTGGGCACCTGTGCGGGAGGGCATGCACCCAAGTGTCAATGACACCCGTCCCGGCTCGGAACAGAGGGCGTGTGGCCCGGGGGGGGGGGGGGGGAGACCACAGCGGAGAAGGGCCGGCTGGGCCAAGTCGCCGGACGCGCTAGCCAGCCAGCCGGCCAGTCGCCGGTCAGCGTCCCCCCAGAGTCGCAAGCTGTTCAACATGTGTGGAACCCAAACAAACTCGGTAATCGGCCCGGACATGGACCAAATAAAAGCCATGTCCGTGCGGGCGATGTTTGCTTGCTGGCCGAGAGGGGGCTGATCGCGCCAACCAGACGCGGCACGCGCCTCGCCCGGCCCTCCCGGCAACAGCTCGGGAAGGCCGATCGGCCAGCGTCAAGCCCACGCCTGGGGATGATCGTACCGGCCGCCGACACCGGCCCGGGCGTTTGTCAGAAGCAACCTTGCGCACGGCCAGGACGCGGGGGCCGGCGGAGATCGCGCAAACGACACTGCCCGCCTCACCACCGGTCCGGTCTGCCTCCCGCCCCCCCACATACAGGAGAGCATCATCCTGGGCCTGGGGAAAGGGCATATCGGGCGTGTATCGCACTCGGGGATTCTTTCGACAGAGCACATTCGGGTCAGGCGTCCGGGCAAATGGCCGACAAGGATGCCAGTCAGTAATTGCGGCACGTGGTGTGCGTCGGACTGATTAGTGTGGGCATATCGTTTGTGTACATTACCGGGGGGGGGTGATCCGGGAGTCTCATGAGGCTGGCAACAATGTTGTTTCGTTCGCCGTCAACCGGCCAGCAGGAGTGGTCCGGCACATCAGCACAGGTCCCACGAACCGGCGCAAAGCGCGCAGTGTCACAGGGCTTTGAGGGTCAGCCCATTTCCTCCGGTCTCTGGGCCGGCTCCCCCCCTCGGATGTAGCCCTCGAACCAGGGGCCTGTATGTCTCCACTTCAATCTGCCTGTATTGTCGCACTTTTATTTCGACCCATCGATGCTCGAAGCCCGGCTTTTGGTGTCTCCTTGCTGCTGGACCACTATATCCTCCGGCAGCGCACACAGACCGGCACCACACCCGATGGTGTGTGTGCCGCCCCCCTGGGGAAACCCGCATGCTGGGGCCTTTCATGAAAGACGCCCCCCACCATCCCGGTGCTGTGATGGACACTGAAGCCTTTCGAATCCATCCTTCGGATGAGAAGAAGGAGCATCACCCTGACGCTGGGGCTCTGCTCGGATCCAGAACAATCTGTTCCCCCCCCCCCCTCCCCCCTGAGAGCTTCCGCTCCGAGCGGACAAACAGCAACAGAATCCAGCACCCCGCCCGGCCAGAGGTCACCCGGTGTCCATTGGCACCGGGGCAACGCCCACGATGCCCCTGACATTCATTTGGAAATGATCACGCCCCCAGTTGCCCATCCTCCGGCCGTCTAGCCCCATTTTCCTGGCACTCGCAATCCCCGAGTCCCACCTCATCCGGTGCTCAACGCAACATGTACGTGTGTTCTCTCCTCCCGGCCCCTCTGCCCCCCCCCCCCCCCCCCCCCCCCCCCCCCCCCGGCTTCCAGGGACCAGCAAGCTACTGCCCTGCTTTCACACAACCGACGAGGAAAGGAGCGACCGGGAGGGCGGCTGATTCGACCTTTTTCAGTTTGCCCCTTCGTTATTGCCGGATGCATGGCCTTCGTCAATATTCCTCCCGGTCCCCCCCTCCCCCCCCCCCCCTCCTCTCTCTGCTTTCCCTTTTCTCTCTCTTCGTCACTCTTTCTCTACCCCCCCCCCCCCCTTCGCCCGACCTCGGCTCGTGCTCCTCTTCCGAGAGGACAAACTTCTCCCCTGACACACCCACCCTTCGGACTTTCGATGTCTTCTCGCTCGTCTCGACACAGGTCCACGTGCGTCCTTCTCGACGCTCTGTGCATGTCCGCCGGTTTGGGCCCCGATCACCCGCACCTCGCCTGCCCTGCTCTGACCATCCCCCCCCCCCCCCCCCCCCCCCCCCCTCCCCCCCCTCCCACGCGTTCCCTTTGCCTCCTTGCAGCCGCTCGCGATCGCGCTCGCGCTCACGCGAGTCTCGCCATCGGGGGCGCCACGGCGAGCGTGATGACTACCGGTCCTCGTCGCAGCAAGACCGCGGGCGTGATCGCGATCGCGATCGCGGCGACCACCGCGACCATCGCGACCGCCGTGACTCGCGCGAATACCGCGACCATCGGGACAGCCGAGGCCACCGAGACCGCCGGGACTCGCGCGATCGTGACCGCGATCGCGACTGGGACCGTGAGCGCGAGCGCGATCGCGACCGCCGATCCTCCTCGTCGGCCAGCTACCGGTCCGGCTCGCGGGACCGTTCGCGTGAGGCCTCCGGGCGCGACCATCCTCGCCCCATGTCCCCCGAGCTGCCGGTCTCGCCTACTGCCCCGGCGGCGGCACCAGTGGGCGCGGCCACTTCGCCTGCCCATGTTCAGCCCACTGCCTCGGCTGTTCCAATGATTCCCCTCCCTGCGGCCGCTCCCCTTTCGACCGTGCCCACTGTCGACGTGCGTCATCGACCTTCCCCTCCGCAGGCCCTCTTCTCGCTTGGCTGTGCGCCTTGCATGCTCTGTCTGTCTGACGCCCTTGGTTGGTATTCCATCCCCCCCCCCTCCCTCCCTCCTGTTTGCTCCCTTGGCGGTTTTCGATCCATGGTCCTGCCTGCGTTCCAGCCTGCCGAGGAGGAGCGCCGCCGTCGGCGAGAGCGCATCGCCGCCTGGAAGGCCTCCCAGGCCATGGCTTCGGCGACGGCCCCGCCGGCCTCGGCCCCGGTGCCGCCGCACCTGTCTACCAATCCCGAATCTCCGGATGGCACGGCTATCGCCGCGGCGATGGCCGCCGCCTCGGCCGCCGCCGTGGCTGCCGCCGCCGCCGTTCCCCTGGTCACCCCCATCACTGTGCAGCCCCCCCGGCAGCCGATCGCCTCGCGCCCGGAACTCCTGATGCAGCTGTCGGACTTCAGCCTTTCCGGCCCGGAGCAGCCTGTGACTGCCGTGTCGGCCGCGACACCGACCACCGAGTCGACCTCGGCCCCTTCGGCCGCCACTCGGCGCTCGGTCCTCTGGAGCGACGATGAGGATGATGATATGGCTGATGGTTCTGCTGCCTCTGAGGCTGCCATGGAGCTTGATGGCGAGGGCCAAGAGGGTTCCACTCGGGCGGCTGACCATGCACCTGTGGCCCCCGAGGGCGAGGGCCGCTCCATTGCCGGGCGCGCTGCCCCGTCTACGGGATCAATCTTCTCCTCCTCGACAAGCCCATCCAATCCCCCATCGGCCACTCTCGCGGCCGATCCCGCACTGGCAGCTGACTCGGTGGTCGACCCCCCTCCTTCCACCGCCACCGCCAGTGGCGGCGCCTCCACGGCTGCCGCCACTGGCGGTGCCCCCTCTGGTGCATCCAGCTCGGCGACGGTCACCGTTACCGATGTTGACGATGACATTGACCCGCTGGACGGTGCGTGTCTCCTCATCGATGTCCCCGCCCCCCCCCCCCCCCCCCCCTCCTTCCCCCCTCCGGGCCCCCCCCACGGGCCCCCGGGCCCCGGGAACCGGCCGTACCCGCCTTGGCGCCCCCTTCCCCCCGGGGCCCCGGGTTGGGGGGGCCCCGCCGCGGGCCGCCCGGGGGGCCCCCGGGCCCGCTCTCCCGCGCAGGCCGCCCCCCCCCGCGCCGGCCCTCCAGACACGGGGGGGTGGGGGGGGGGGGGGGGGGGGGGGGGGGGGGGGGTGGGGGGGGAGGGGGGGGTGGAAAAGGCGGGGGACCGAGGAAGGGAGGGGGAAGGGAGGGGGAAAGCAGGGGGGGGGATTGGATTGGGCCCCCCCCGTGCGATCCCCCCCCCCCCCGGTGGGTTTCCTTCCCCCCCCCCCCCCCCCCCCCCCCCCCTTCGGCCCGTCTCCCTCCGCTGTTGCAGCCCGGCCTATGGCGCGCCGGAAGGAGGAGGGGGAGGCGGGCCCCTTTTTAATCGGCCTGCTTGCGGGCCTTCTTCTT